TGTTTTTTAAAATATGATCTTTGACTTCAAACCTATTTATAAATATAAAACATCCTATAGATTCTTGATATCCATGAGGAGCTTGTTTAATTGATGATCTACCACTTAACAGATGCATGATTATAGTGTAACATGCAGATCACTATGTAAATCTAATATAGAGTGAATGTGAAAAATTTCTAACATTCATTCAAGGAAAACTTTTTTTCATACTAAGTTGATTAATTAAAAGTTGTAGAGCACGTCATTGTGGTTCTAATGGTGATTAAATCATTCAAATCGGCCTAGTGAATAATGAAATATCTTTAAAAAATGTGTTAATGACTATATAAAATCTCTATATAAACAATGTATTGTTTATATAGAGATTTTATATAGTTGTTGACATGTTTTCTAAAGATATCTTAGCATCTACTGAGCTGATTTGGATTATTTAACTACCATTAGAACTGCAACAACGTGCTCTACAACTTTTTAATTAATTGACTTTGTCAATTAATTTAGTATGAAAAAAGTTTTCTTTGAATGAATATTAGAAATTTTTTACATTCACCCTATATTGGATTTATATAGTGATCTGCATCATGTTACACTATGATCATGTATCTGTTGAGTGACGAATCATCAATTAATATGAAATTCTTTTTGTATTTTTTTTTATCAGAAAATATAAGCTACAAAAATTCTTTACTCTCTACTAGAGTTATATTTGCAAACTTTGCATTATTATACATTATTTTCACTAAAATGTCTTTGATAAAGATTAATATAATTATTTCACTATTTTTGAAATAAGACGTATGATTTTCTTTTTTAATTATTTGACCAACACTTATTCCATTACAGCTAGGGTTTAAAAAAATCATAAATAAAGCAGATTTTTTGCTTTTAAAAAAATGTTTGTTACTAAGTGCTTTTATCCAAACAAAAAAAGTAGTATATTGCTTTTTTATAATTATATCATAGATATAAACACACTTCTCTGATTTTTCATATAAAATATATTATTTTGCAAATTTTTTGAGAGTTAAAAAAAACTACACACTTTAGCTATTAAGATCAAGACAAAGCTGATAAAGTTGCTATAAAGTTTTATCTTTGAAAGTTTTTTTGTATTTAAAATGTTTTGTTAACCTATTTATTGCTTTTCAAATAAAATTTTATTTTTCTAAAATAGCATGTAAAAATTAGTTCCTATAGCTTAATAACACATACTCAATATAAATAAATTTCATAAAATTTAAAATTAAGTCTAATATTAAGATATCCAATTTAATTCCTATTCCATTTAATAATATTATTATTTCTAAAGTGCACCCAGGTTAGCAAATTTTAAATTACAATTATGTATAATGATGATTTTCAAAATTATTACTGCCTTATTTTTGGTAATAAATAAATATTTAATATTTATTTATTTGATAATAAATAAACACCTGATTTTAAATATATTTATTTTTGTAGATTTTTGCTAATAAATTAATGCCTTAAGTTCATTCATTTTCAATTCTAATTCTATATAGTTAACATGAAGTTTTTGTTATAAATTAATGTCTTAAGTTTATCCAAATTCAATTCTAATTCATGTTGTTAGCATAATTAATGCCTTAAGTTTATTCATTTTCAATTCCAATTCCATGTTGTTAATGTAAATTTTTGACAACAAAATTAATACCTTTTCTTAATACTAATTCTGTAGATTTTTGACAATAAATTAATACTTTAAGTTCATCTATCTTCAATTCCAATTTAATGTTGTTAATATGGATTTTTGACAATAAATTATACTTTAAGTTCATCCATTTTCAACTCCAATTCCATATCATTAACAGAAGTCTGCTGAGATATTAACTTTTTTGAAACTCATATCTGATTATTTAAAAGTAAACTCACAAATTTGATTGCAATAAGTTTATATTAGGTACATGCTATTTTATAAGTCATATATACTCCAATCTTATCTTCATTTTTTCTATCTTTTTATAAGATTGAGTATGATGCGTGATTTAGCTTTTAATAAAATATAAAACTTTTGTATAGTTAAATACTTACTTTTATGTATTTTGAGTTTCAAAAAAAGGTTAATACAGTCAGACCCCCTAAGTGCACATTTCTTAAGTGCATAGTATATGAAAAACCCCTCTAATATGCATGTCTCTGCTTGGTCCCAACTCATATAACAATTATAAAATTTAATCTCTCTAAATGCACACCTCCTCTAAGTGCACATTTTGTATTTTTTTTACTATGGTCCCGAGGAGTGTACATTTAGGAGGGTGTGACTATATCTCATGATTCAAGAAAACTTATTATTAAAACTTTGGCTATTTGAACACGATATATATGATTTATATATAAAACATATAAAATGACAATCATTTTACTATTATTAAACTTGTATAATATAGAGTTGTCCTCATTAATTGACTATTCTATAGCCAAACTGACTTGGGGTGTGACAACTTCACCACTTTGCTATGTCGCCACACTCTATTATTTATTAATTATTTAGAAATTATTTTACAATAAAAATTTTTATATATAACATAATAGATAACAAATATGTACAGTATATACTAAATATAATATATACAAAAAAAATACTAATTTTATTATAATAACTTTATAAAATATTATAAAAATATTTATCATTTATTTAATAGATTTTAAACTATTTATTTGATAGATTGTAAAAATTATTATAAATTATTATTTTTAACTATAATAGATTTACAATAATTTTTACATAGCAAATTATTTAATTAACTACAATAACTAAGTAATAGTTGCTTTAATTCATTACAAAATCAATATATATATAAATCTAAAACAAATAAAAAACAAAGAATTGTAAAAATTTTATAAATTGTATAGGAATTAGATTTTTGTCATTAATTTTAACCTTTTAGATATAGTGAAATATGTATTAGAATAATGTCAATATAAATTAATCATGTAATCATGCCATGCTATCGCTAAGTTATTCACAATAATTTGATGCAAATTATGATGAGAAGTAGTTATGGCTACAGTTATAGCAAACACTGTATAAATCCCAAATGCCGTATAAATTCTAAATACCGTATAATAAATTCAAAATTCTATCTCAATGATTTAATATTTGATATCTATCATATGGCAACATTAAACTATAAGCAATATATGTGTAGTTCTAAATAATAGTAGTTCATATTTGGGATCTTTGCCTTAAAAATGACCTTATGGTACATGATACTGTAAGGTCATTTTCAAGGCAAAGACCCTATTTGTCATTATCTGAATTAAATTATAATATCAATCAACTTTTTACATGTACTTCACAACAATTAAATATATTTCAAGAAATTGATAATAATTGAAATAAATTATCTGTAGAAAAAATTTTTTATTCAAAGATGCTGTGGTAAACCTAAACGAGATCTGGTTTGGGATGTCTGGATTATACAATATCAATATGTAATCGGATAATATGGTGAAGCTAATTTGTTAATCAAAGAAATAATTAATCTTTCAAATCCAGCTTTCAAATCAGAATAAGGTAATAAACCATAACACTCAATGGGTAGGTTCAGAAAATAATTACAATTAGTGTTCAAAGATAAGCCGGCTTATCACGGCTTGCTGCGGCTTATCACGTGATAAATTCGAATTTATCACGTGATAAGCCGTATTAAGCCGCAGCAAGCCGTGATAAGCTGGCTTATCTTTGAACACTAATTACAATACAGCAAATCTATTAGTTCGAAGAATTTAATGAATAACAAAAAGCAATAGAATAACAAATATGTAATAAATTTATATATCGATAATGTGTTTGCCGTTTGCTATTATCGTTATATGTTTTAATAAATAAAAATTCTAAGTTTCATATAAGAGTGTCGCCAAGGGAAAACATGTCATCGAACTTTCAATAATATTTGTGTACAGTTAGCCGTCTACGGGAAATCTATTATTATGATAGATTTTCTTTAGAAGGCTAACTGTACACAAAATATCCGTTGACGGATTTTCCCTTGGCAGCACTCATAAAAATAATTGCAATATGACAAGATTATGGCAAGTTACGGCAAGTTGTGAAATACAAAATTGAGTTACGGCAAATATAAAAAGTTATAACTTGAATAATTTTATCGGCACATACGCAAGTTACAGCAAGCCGTAATTTAATTTAAAGCAAAAAGTTATGACTAGTTATAACTCAGTTACGGTACGGTACGGGCCATCCCAATTTCTCAAGTTCCGCCTGCACCTCTACGTATAACAGATCGGATCTCTGCGGATCCGAATTGGACGTACAAAACATTACTTTTATCAAAGTGTATTTATTGCACATGATTTTCGATATATCACTAACGTATCGGAAGTTGCAATAGGAAAATAGGAAACCTCAAGATAAATTTACTTTCCACAATTTCCTTTTGTTTTTTTTTTTGTTTGACAAATTTCAATATTAATTCCTTTTTTAGAGGCTGTTACATGTTACATTTTGAGCAAATTCCCAATTGGTAAAACTTAATGATAAGATTTACCAGTGATTTAAACTAACAAGTTAGATTTTTAGTACCATATTCACTGATAATACTGCATAATCGATAACTTTGCAATTCATTTTATTATTAAAGTATATCTAATTACGATTAATTGAGGTGTGTGGATTCACGTGCGTTTCTCTCTCTAAATGCAACTCTCAAATTTTATTTAAATAATAATAGACCTGTTGTAATAGGTGAATTATGCAATAATACTTTATTTGCCGAAATTGTTTATGAAAAATTAATTATTGTTTGTTACATTTACCAAAATTGAGCAATGCCAATAAAATTCTTTTATCTTAATTATCTTAACCGAATTAAGCTTCAAAATTCGAATTTCACCTACTGTCTTAGTTACAAACAATGATTTTCATGTTTATAAAAAAAATTATATATACTACATTAATTAATATTATTTGATCTTCCAAAACTTGCTGATCCTTCTCTATACTATTATATTTTTCAATAATGCAAACTCGCCAGGCACGGCTCCTGGCGAAAATAGATAAAAGACCTAAAACACCTTCATTTTATCTTTCTAGGTCAAATATGAATCGTAATTTATCACCAATTTTTCCCAAAGGAAATTTTAATCAAATGATTACTCCTAATAAATATAAATCCAATATTCATTTTGACAAAAAACTTTCTCAACAACCTATTAATTCAAAAATATTATTATTATTACTTTTTAAAACATTAATAATTACTATAATTGGACTTTTATGCACATATATAACATATCCTTGGTTTACATTTAAAGATTCTTTATCATCAACAAACCATCCTCCTTCGCATAAACCTACCATACCTAATCCAATAATAAGAGACCAAATTATATTATATCGCATACTTGGTAATGATCTCCCACCACGTCATAAAGCTGGACAGACATTAAAAAATGTGAGATTTATATTAGAACATGAAGTAGAATTTTTAAATACAAAAAAATGGTGGTTACTTAATCGAATTGCGGATTCTGATTATGAAGATACATTAATTAATCTTTTAAGATTACATAAACAAGATTATATTAGAATACCTTTTAATGAAGATGAATATTCAAAACTTGATTTTCGTCTTGAAGACTTTCCAAAACCTGATTTTTTCAATTCGGATGAATTCGCTCGCTTTTCAAGGGGTGCAAAATTAAGATCGATTGATTATACTTATTTTGATAAAAATTTATATGCTATGAATAATGTAATTATTATTATTATTATTATTATTATTATTATTATTATTATTATTATTATTATTATTATTATTATTATTATTATT